TGTAAGTACTCCTTAACTAGGGGCAAGGAGCTCGGTGCTGCTGCCGGGTGGAAACAAGGTGCCAGGCCCAATAAAACAAGGTGGAGGGCCGGATTCAGCCCATGGGCCTTGTGTTTGCCAGTTGTGCTGTAGGGATATAGATATAGGCATTAGCTAAACGTTTCAGTTGCTTTGGGTGTCATGTAGTTTACCCCCCAAGATTAAGAAAGTATGTTAGTCATGTTCTGAAGGCCTGCCTGTAAGCAAGTTTCAGGAGAAATGTTTAAAAGTACACTTCTGTTGAAATAATAGAAAAATATAGCCAGTTAAGCACAAACAATGATTGTTTAAACAATAACAAAGGTCATAAGATGTTTAGTTTCTGCTTTTTGCTTTAAAGATAATGTCACTTAAAAAACCCCAAGTAAATAAAAAAAGATAACATCACTGATGCACAATATTTTGCAGATCTTGTCTCTTCCACCTAGCAACCCTTGTTCTCACAATATAAGTACAAATTGCTGAGGTACTGCTTCGTCTTCAGACAGGAAGAGGACAGGGTTGAGAGATCTTGCTTTCTTGTCCTTTCACTTTAACCAGATTGAATAAACCTTTATCTCCCAGCACCTGGTCTCAGAGTTTTGGCTAACTAGTGCACAGGGCACACGGATGTTAATTTTGGGACGTGGTTCAGAGGCAAATATGTGCTGAATGAGTGGGCTGGAGAAGTGGCGGCAAGAAGCGCAGGGAAGATCTAGGAATTTTCAGCTCCTTATGAATCTGAACAAGCACCAAGATTTCCATTCCCACTACTCTCCAGGTGTTTCTTAGATGCCCAGAGAGGTGAGTGGAGTCAAAGAGTGTAGTATGCAGGAAAGGCGTTAGTCATTGGCTCCAGCTCTCCCTTAACTAAGTTTCCTCCTAAAGAACCTTTTAGGGGTGAAAACTCATAGAGGCTTCTGAGAATTTAATTCCCAGACTTCCCAGGAACAGGGCTTGGGCTGGGTCAGAATGCAGCGCAGTAAAATTCCACATGCGTTTCCGACACCGCCCTGTGCCAGACACCACACTGGAGGGGGTTCTGTATGCAATTTCCTTTTTAAATAAATGCTTGTTTTTTTTAATTAAAGTAATACATGCACATGGTTTAAAAGCCAAATAATGCTAAATGACTCATGAAGAAGCCAGGGATCCCTGCACCAAAACCCCTCGCAAAATCATCCTGCTTCTTATAAAGCAGCCGCTTCCACTCTCTTGGCTCTTTATTCTAGGATTTACTCCCAGATTTCTAGATGATTATGGGAATTCCACTCTCTCTTCATTCATCCATTTTAGATATTATGTGCTGAATTACTAGTATGGTAAGTGAAGATTTAGCTCTATTCACACCCCTCTTTTCACTTCCATCACCCCACAAAAAATTATAATGCAATTTAGGTTAGATTCATATTTACACTCTTGGTTATTATGACCACGTAAATATTGTCTCATTTTTTTTATATTTGAATTCATAGCTAAATATTTCTACCCCAACCAATCACTATGAAACAACTCCCAGTACAACTCTTGGATTTTCCACATAGTGGAGTCTGTCAGGATAATCATCGGTTTCTTTTTCTCCAGGCCCTCGCAATCCCCCGCTGACACACCTCTCGTCTGACGTCCCCAACTTTCCAGGCTCTGCGTGGGTTCTGTTCTTGAGCTAAGAACTTCCTCTTTCATTCCCTCAGGAGTCTCCGTGGCCTCCCTCTCACGGAGGATGCACTGGCACCTATTTCCTGGGTCCTGCATCTTCTTCCGTCTTGGTTTCCTCATCTTCATGGAGCACATCCTGCCTCAGCTCCCCAACAAATGTGCAAGGAGGCCAATTTTTTGAGACTTTGCCTATTTGAAAGCATCTTTATTGTGTCTTCACAGATATGAGTTTGGTTTTAGAATTCTGGGTTGAAAATCATTTCCACTTCAGAGTGATGACAGCTTTGTCCTGGAATCTTCTAGATTCCCATGTTACTGCTGATAAATCTGATGCCATTCTGAATCTTGAACATTTGTATGTGAGTGGGTTTTCTGAAAGGTTTAGAATCTTGCCTTTATCCTTGACATTCTGAAATTTCACAGCAATATGTCTTGATGTGGATCTTTTAAATTCATTTTGCAGAGTACTGGTCTGGACCATTCAATCTGAGAAAATTCTTTGCATTTTTCTGTTAATACTTCTCACCCTCTCTTTTCACTGTTCTGCCTAGAACTCCTGTTAGTCAGATATTTAGTCTCCTGGAATGATCCTCTCATTTTTTATCTTTTATCTCATAATTTATCCCTGTGACTTTTAAAAATTCTTCTTTCCATAAGATTTCTCTGATGTTAGCTTCCAACTCTTCTCACTGAATTAAAAAAAAAATCAGCTATCACTATTCTAATTTCAAAAGCACTTTCTTGTTCTGATTTTTTAAAAATAAGCATATAACATGTTGCCCTTATTTTTAAAGTATACTATCTTATCTCCCTGAGAATATTATGGTCTGTATGTTCTTAACTGCCTTTGCCTTGTTTTGATCTGCATCTTGTTGGAAATTGTTCATTCTTATTAAGCATCAGATCCAAAAAGTTGATGAGAAGCTCTTCACAAAGGGTAATTTACATTGGTACCTTCGAATACAATTCAGTTTCTTCAGCGGACCCTCTAAACTCATGCTTCTTGGTTAAAGCCCAGCTTGGCATTGGATGTGCGCGTATTCACTCAATCGTCATTTCTCATCTCCATAGTCTTTATGCATGGCCTGTAAGTTTGTTCCAAGAAAATGCCTCCTTTCTCTTATAGACCTGTTCATGGCCCCTGGTGTTGTGGGGCCAGGATAGGAGCTGACTCTTATATCAACCCTTCAACTTCATCTCTCCCCAGCACCACCTTTCATGGTGTCCAGCACCGGGCACCTCCGGTTCCTGAAACCTTCAAGATTCTGCATGGGAAAATGGTTTGTTTCATCTATCTCCTTCAGCCAACATTTCTACGTGAGCTTTCCCTGTTCTTCTAAGGCATTTATTTACCATTTCTCCATTCCATGCCTGCCCTTGTATATAGCAGATAGGATTGCTGCCTTCTAGTTTCACTGAGAATAAAGTTTGTGTAGGTTCTCTTGCTCTCCTTATTATTTGAAGATAAATTTCCAAAGAAGGGAGACAGAAACATAATTATTTTACAACCTTAAAACCACAAGAATACATTAAGTAGACATTAAGTCTATATTAAGCCTACATTACTTTTTTATTTATTGATTTTACAGAGGGAGAGAGAGAGATTTATTTGTTGTTCCATTTATTTATACATTCAGCTGTTGATTCTTGTATGTGCCTTGACCAGGGATTGAACCTGCAGCCTTGTAGTATCAGGATGATGCTCTAAGCAACTGGGCCACACATCCAGGGCAAGCCTGCACCATCTTTTAATCCTCACAATTAACATTGCCATTAGTGGAACTGAGGCTCAGTGAGGTTAAGTTCTCTGACCAAGGTGAAGTTGCAAAGTGGCTAAGAACCCAGGTCGAGCCAAGGGCAAATCTCTGCTCTTCCTCTTCCTCTCTTTTGCCTTCAAACACTCTGAGATCTAGAGAGGGTGGTAAGCTATGGTCCAGCCTGGCTTAATACCCGGAGGTACAATGTGAGGAAGCCCTTTGGGGAAGAAAGGGACTCCTGCATTTTTGAAAATTTCTAGGTGACTCGCGTCCTTCAGAGGTCATGGAGAATCTAGACTAAATAATGACAAAAAGGATACCAAAGTAGGGTGAGCCTCAGAGAAAGACTGAAGGGCTGAGGATGTATCCCAAACTTATACCATGGGGGAGGCCTAAGTTCTAAGAGAACTTAGGAGAGAAATTTGTTTCCAGGGACCCAAGGGAAAAAACAAAAGGCCAGTGAGGCCAATGGTGTCACACTACTGTGAGGGCAAGAGAAGTGCTCTTGTGGACACCAGACTTAGACCCATCCCAAGACACCAGTGACTTCTGGACTCCAGCTTCTCATTGCCTTCAGGATCAGGGCTCCTAACTTCCCCAGGCCTGGCCCTCACCTCAGCCCGGGCAGGGTTCAGCTTTCAGGTGATTAACAGTGTTGGGAGTAGAGCAACTTAGAACTAATGGTGTTGGTCTGTCTGTCTATCCAGAGTTTATTTTTGTCTGTCTGTCTATCCAGACCCCAAAGTAGGTAAATGTAAAGTAGGTCCTTCCATTCACCCCCTAATTTCATCTTGTTAAAGATGAAACCCAAGAATGGCACATGGGTTTCATTTCACAGACCAGCCCTGATCGGTGGAGGCTTCTTGGACCACCACAAGGAGAATCATTTTGTGGCTTTGTTCAGGCCCAGGGGAACCACAGCTTAGTGATACCTGCCATGGGTGGAGAGGGGAAGAGTTAAACGACATCCGTCTAACTGATCCAGGTCACCTCCTCTTCCCAGAGTTGTGTCCTCCAAAACTGTGATCAGGATGCTTTCAATGTCCTTATTCAAGTCACTAATAAAAGTTGATAGAGAGAGACCCAAGGGTTGTGCCATTAGAGGCAGTTTAGAGGCTGACCTGGAGCTGCTGCACACTGGTATACAATCTCTGCACATAGTCTGTCACATTTATGATTATTTTTAGAATTCATTTCCAAGACACATCTTCCCATCTTGTGTCCCAGAGAGCTGTTTCTGTAAAACCATCACCTGGATAGGACAGAGGCGGGTGAATCTCTTTTCCATCCCTTCCTGGGGTACAGAAACTGGGATGCTGAGAAGTGAATAGATCACAGAAGAGAAGAGGTCAAGTTTATGACCTCTGGGGTCTTATATTTAGAGACCAGCACTTCAGGACTTCAGCCCCTGGTGCCTTTTCAATGCACTGAGTAAACAATGAGTCATGTGGGGGAAAGGAATTGTGAAAATTATGCAGAACAAAACAACAGCAAACAGAAAGAAAAAAAACAGGGACACTCTGTTTTAAGCAGCTCATACTTTTATCATAAAATACAAACGCTCTAAAATTAAGTGTCTTACTTCTATTTTACCAACAACAACAAAAACAAAAATCACTCATGTCAGCTAAATACAGGTGCAGAAGTACTTGAGCAAGTGAGCATGCTGCTGTAGCCGGGGGTGCTGTGTGTGTGAGTGTTGGTGAGGAAATGAGTCTGGTCTTGCTGTCTTCTGTCTGTGATCTGGCCGAAACCTTGGCTTTCCAAACTTCCTACCAAGTTGTTGCAGCTCCCAGAATCCCAGAGCCCTTAGACCTCATCCGAGGGCTAAGGTAGGAGGAGGGAACAGAGAAGGAGACCTAAAAATTTATGCCATTCCCACTGGAGGAAAAATAGGGACTGTTCAGCAGGGGCCCACCAGACGATGAGCTGAACCTGGAAGACAAAGATGATGGATGTCAGGGTGACATTCCTGATGTTGGCAGAGATATTAGGAAAAGTAATATTTTAATTTTGTGGCTGTCAAAGACTGTCACGATTGTGACAGGCTCGGAGGCTAAAAGCTCTGGCATAATAAAAAAGCTTTGGCTCTGGGAAAATAAAATATTAAAGTGATACAACTGAATGACAAAAAAGAGCTTTTCCTGCCACTTACACAGGTCAAGAAGCCCCCCCGCTGTCTGCAGGGATTACTTCAATGGAGCCTACACTCTCACCACGTCCAGGACCACAACACAGAGAGCCTCTCTTACCTGGATCTGAACACCGTACCTGTGGTCCCGCAGCCATTCTACCTGCCTTAGAGGACCAGGTGTGTCCCTGAGGAAATTCCACAAGAGAGAATTCAGGGCCACTTCCTGGAGTGCGATCTGGGAGTCCAGACAATCCCAGCACTCCTCCCCTTAACAGCACCAAGCTCATGCAGGCTCTTTGCTTCAATACCGTTTTAAGAATTGAGCACTGAGACACCACTGAAATGCCTGGGAGCCTGCTAGGCCCTCGGAGAAGGAAGAGCCAGGAAGGTCTGAGCCTCACCCTTCAAGAGCAGAAACAGACACACTCCTACTCACTCCTCAAAAGGGAGTTCAAAAGCCACCTCCTCTGTGAAACCTTCCCTTGACCGCTCCAGATGGAACCATGCACTCACACTTCTGGAATCCTACTACAATTTCATCACCCATCTGCTAGGATACTTTAATGAATGGGAGCAGAGCTCAGTATGAATTGCGGCGTAGCAAATGACTGGATTTAGTCTAATCCAGGGACTCTCAGTCACTTTTTAGTTGGGCAGATGCATGTTACAGAAGATGTTCACGTTCATGGCACTCTCCCATGAATCGGTCATAGGAAAAGTGGGGCTGGGGAGAAGAGAAGCAGTGGGAACCAACCAGCACATTAATTTGTAATGCCTCAGCTCATGTCGGTATCTGCCGCTCACTGATTGTCCGTGGACAACACGAGCTAGCCTTTGGATTATGTTTAATTCCCTTCTCACTAAAATAGGTTCCACAAGAGCAGGGACATTATCTGGACTGCCCACCGTTTCACACCCAGCGCCCAGCCCAGCACCTGGCACGGGGTAGGCGCCTAATGAGCAATTAACGCTGGCAGTGACCCCACCTCTTATTCTCTATTTCAAAAATCATATTGGAATATAAATGATTGAAAGTGATGTTACCATAGAGATACCCTGGATTTTACTCTCATTTATAATATAAAAGCTATAACCAATACCTTATATTTAATAACTCCTAGTAACAAATTACTCAGGGCATACCTCGTATATGATCACCCCACTCTAGGCGTTTAGACCCTTCTCATGCCAAGATCTTCTGATTGGATCAGTTGCCAAGGGCATGGCCTGGGTGGGATGAGCATTAGAGGACCAGGAGAACAGGTAATCCCTGAGGACTACAAGGAATCCTTCCCGAGGAAGCAGGGAAAGCTTAAACTGCCTCCCAAACAGGGTGATCTGCCCTGGTTTGCCTGGGACAGTTTGTACACTGATATTTCCAGTGTAATTGTTATTTGTGCTTCTTTTAGCTTTCAATATTGTTCTTTGGAAGAGAAATTGTATGGTTATTGTACCCTGATGTGTGTATGCAAATCAATTTGGCAGAGGGAAGGGAGGGCTCCCCTGCTTTTTCCTTGTGAACACAGAAGCCACCTGAGCCTTCCTCTCCCACTTCGGATAGTTTAGTCTCTTGGTTCTCTCCTTTGCTCCCAACCCAGAGGAAGTGCTGACTCTCCTTGTCTCTGGGACTAAACTTTCCACTAGATCCTATATCCTCCCCCGCCCAGAGTAGACTCTCCTAGACCGAGTTCCACCCAGGATCACTGGTAACTACAACCCAACACCACTGCTGTGCTCAGGGCTCCATCTGACAGTGCCTGGGTTTCATGTTCATCACCTGCAATCCCTCCTTCCCTCCTCCAGGAAATAATTTCTTCACTTGACTTCCTGTACTCCACACTCTCTTCCACAGGTTCTCCCACCTCATATGACTCCCTCCTAGACCCTTTGCTAGTTCTTCCACATCTCCCCAACCTCTCCACATGCTGAAGGTCCAGGGCTCAGTCCTTGGGCCTCCTCTCTCCTCTATGTACATGCACTTGTTGAGTGACCTCATCCCATTCCAAGCCTTTAAATATCATCTGTATGCTAATAACTCCCAGATTTCTGTTACTAGCCCCAACCTCTGCCCTGAACCCCAGGCTTGTATAGTCATCTGCCTCACACAGCTCCACTCACATCTCAAATGTTGCATATCTCAAGCCAAACTCGTATCAACAGATCTGGGCTCTAGCCTTGACCTTGGTATTTTAGCATCACCACTTATCTAGTTGCTCAAGTCAAAAACCTAGGAATCACACTTGATACCTCTCTTCCTCATTCCACATGACAATAAACACTCCAGACCTTTCACTTGTCCCCTCTCCCACTGCCACTGCCTTTGTCCATGCCACCAGCACCTCTCGTTCAGACGGCTACAAAAGCTCCCATCCTGCACCCCTGCAAAGGCTCCAACTGCACAGTCCACTCTTCATAACTTGGCCCAAGTCATCTACTCTAGATAGAAAACTAGAACATGTCCTCACCAGCTTGAAAGTCGTAATGGCTTTCCATTGCTCTTTAAAAAAAACCCCAATACCCTTGTACCACGTCCACAGGCCCTGCCTAGTATGGCCCTGGCTGCTCCTCTGATCTCAATGCTGCCCACTCCCTCCCACTCACTGTGCTCCAGCTACATTCCCCATCTGGAGCTACTGTGCTTTTTGTGCTTTCTGCCTGGAGTGCTCCTCACCCACATATATGCCTGGTTCATTCTCTTACTTCATTTAGATCTCAGCTCAAGAGATTTCCCTTCATTCCCTCTCCCCTAACCCCCAGCACCTGGTGAGTATGCTGCTTGTTTAGTTCCATGTTGTCTATGTCCATTTCTCCCCTTTGAATGGGAGAAGGAGAACTTGGTCTTCTTCACTACATTAACCAGCGCCTAGAACAATGCCAGGCACATAGAAGATGCTCGGTCTCAATGAATATTTTTTGAATGAACAAATCGTTCCTTCTGAGGACACAGGTCCACACCCCTTACTTTGCTTTTCCGACCTCACTCTCCTGGTCTTGCCCACCGCTGTGGCCACCATTCCACCTTGCTGCCTGCCACCACTCCTGTCACTCTCCAACTGTGCCCGTGATGTGTCCACCTGGACCTACGATCCCTTCCCATTTCTAACACTGCTTCTTCCATAGCCTCCTGCTTGTTCCTTTTCCTCTCCCTGCCTGGGCAGACAGCCAGTGACTGGGTCTCAACTCTCCGCCCTTACCACTCCCAATCAGTGCTTCCCAATGGCTGACTGATGAGCCCTCCATCTCACGCTCCCTCCCAAGTTCTGTATCAAGTGCCTCTTCCCTTGGGCCCAGAGTCACAGTGTGGAATACGGGAAGTCTGCTGGCCTAATGGTAGTCTGTCTTGATCCCTCTGCAGTCTCATCCACTCTCACCTCCAAGGAGGCGACAACCTCTCCTGCAGAGCCCCAGAGCCATCTCCGGACAACACCCTCTCTCTCCTCCTGTTTCTCTCCCCTCCAGCCCATCACTTCGTGCTGATGGGCACAAACCCGCATTGGATCCCTAGGTCTAGCAGCCAGAAGCCTGTAAGAATCCAGTCCCAGCCTCCTTTTTCCAATCCTATTTTCCACCTTTTTTCAGGGATAAATTTAATAATTCAACCAGATGACTTTATTACCTAGGCCTCAAGCTTGCCACACCCCTTACAATCTGGGGCCTCACTTCTACCATGTGGAAGGCCCTTCTCTAATCACTGATCACAGCAGCCCCCTCACTGTCCATCCAGCAAAGATCCTTTCTCTGTCCTTGAGCCACTTTGATGGTCTCCACTTTGTCACGGCTCTAACATCATTATGCCCACATCTCACTCACTCTCAGCTCTCTGAAGGAAGGGGCCATGACTTAATCATCTATGACCCCCAGGCTAAAAGCACATGAACTATGTAAAGTAACGCATGCTTTCCAGGATGTCTTGATGTGCCTTACGAGAAAAAGGAAAAGAAAAAGGCAGGAGGAGGAAAGAAAGAAGGGAGGAAGGAAGGAGAGAAGGGAGGGAGGGAGGGATGGATGGAAAGTGAAAAATGAAAATAAGAAAGCAAGAGAAAAACAGGGTTGTGGGGTTTAGGTTCGAATAACACTATTGATCACCCTTTTGGACATTCACCATGCGCCTTTGGAAATTAAACGATCTGAGAATTCCAACAGTTAAGAAATGTGTTGATCTTTGTTTTCCACAGCTTTTCCCAAACAGATGGACTACAGAAACCTCTTTCTAGCATTGGCCCTTTAAATGAGAAACCCTCGGGGAAATGCTGATTGAAAGGATGAGAGTTTGGGGACACCCACCAACACTTCAGTGATGCTCTGTGATGGGGAGATGGGGAACTGATGTCAGATTGGCAAGTTTGGCCTTAATTCTAGAAACCAAGTTTCTGAAACTGGGTGCACATTTCCCAGCGTGTCTGGGAGACTCGGATTATCAGGAACAGAACTGCCTTCCTCTGTGAGCATCCAAACCAGTTGAAGATTTGTAGAGTGGGAGTGAGAGGCTCTGTGTTGCATTAAAACAACAAACACACATTTACGACCTAACCAGCATGTTTACACTAGTGTGGACTTTTCAGCTAATGGGTTGAGTCTGTGTTAGCTGTCTATGCCTAAGCCCCTACCCTCTCCTACTGTCTGGGGCACTTTGCTGGAAAAGCGTGAGCAGCCCTGATAAGCAGCAGAGGATCCTTCAGCGGGGCCTGCCAAGAAGTCAATGGGATGTTCAGGAGATTAGCCTGGTGAGGAGCTCACGGTGCAGTGAGTGGGGAGAGCTGCAAGATTACCTGGCCGTGTCCTGTTGTAAACCAAGCAAACGGGAAAAGGCAAATGCGCCATGCTCCACCACCTGCCACCTGCTGTGCTAGAGTATTGTCACTACTGACTGTGCAGTAGCAGCCCCAAAACGGGCCACCAGAAGGGGCCACCAGGCTCCATAGCCTGCTCACCTCCACACCAGCTCCATCCAGGACCCACCCAGCATCCAGACACAGGCACAGGGCCCACCCCTCCCCATGGCGGTGGAACCCAGCATACTGACTCCCCTCTCCAGTAGCTTTCTAGCTGTAAGCAGGACTTATAGTGCAGGTCAGACTCACCCGTATGGCTGGGGAAAGAGGAACTGTGGCCCATCTCCTGCCATGGGGGAAGGGTCTCGGGGGTTGGAGGACAGCTTTGGAGGTGTCCTCTGAGGGTATGAATAGTTGGGCTGGACGAAGGGGACATAGCTCAGCAGGGGGGTGTAGGAAGAGCGGAAAATCTGCTGTCCCATTTGCAGTGGATTGTATGGTGTCACCTGCAGGTCAGAGAAGAGAGAGAGGCGAAGTCCAGCAGAGCTCACTGCTTCCAAACCTCACATTCCCCAACCCTCCACCTAACCCCAGCCCCATCCCTCAGCCCCGTGCCCCTCAGTGACTGTGGAGCACATAGAAGACAATATGTTGGAATGGAAAACATGCAGGGCTCAACTTCTGTCCGTGAGCTTGGCAAGTAACTAAATGTAGCTGAGCCTCAGTTTCTTGATCTGTGAAATGGGCAAACACTATCTCCGTTGTATGGGGACTGAGTCAGCTGATGTAAGTAAAGAGTCTGAGACATGATAAATAGAAAATAAATATCTCTTTTCTCTTCCCTCCCCCCATTCTTTTCATTCTGTCAACCATCCTCAAAGCCCCTTGTTCACCTTTAAGTCTTCTACTATCTCAGAAAAAAAGCTGTTGAGATTTAAACATCCCTGGTTTCTATCTCAGGATCTCAACAAGTTCCAAGTAGAAGCCAGCCCTGCCCAGCTGAAATTCCTGTGACAGATGGTGGAAATGATCTGTATTCACACTGTCCAACACAGCAGCCACAGGGCCCATGTGGGTATTGAGTACTTGAAATGTGGCATGTGAATAAGAACTGGAATTTTTTATTTTACTTAATTTAATTGATTTAAATTCAAGTAGCCCCACATGGCTCGTGGGTACAGTATTGGACAGTGTGAGTCTAGAAGAAAGAGAGAAAAAAAGGCGATGGGATCCAGCTCAAACCTTGGAGAAAAAGAGGAACTCGGTGGGGTCTTGGAGACCACCTGGATCATACTCCCACCCAGAACCAGGGCTCTGGCATTCATGCCCCTGGCGAGGCAGGAACCCCATCTGCCTTATTTACTGACATAGTTTCCATCCTAAGATAGCGCCTGGCACGCAGGAACTGCTCAATACACACATGCTGAATGAATGCTGAGGGAGAAAGGAAGTGGAAGGAAGGAAGAAGAGACCATGAAGTGTCCGCTTGAACACCTAGAACGACATGGCGCTCATCTCCTTGGGAGCGCGACCTTCCACTACTGGCAGCTCCAAACGTCAGAGCACCCTCTCTTGTGTGAGGCCGCCATCCAACCTCCCGAGTGCTCAGGCAAGTTTCAGTCAAAACCGAGGCAACATCTGGATTTCCACTTTAACAGCAAGAGCCTGGGGTCCAAGCTGCTGGGGGATTCAGCCCACAGCTCCCACTCGGCCCGTGCATCCTTATCCAATACAACGTTCAAAGAGGCTAGCGCTTCTCGACGGTTTAGGGCGTGCCCTTCACATGGACTCGCTCGTTCAAACTCCACACAGCCCTGGGAGGTAGGACCATTAGTATTCCCATTTTACAGTTGAGGAAACTGAGGTTCAGAGCAGTTAAGTGGCTTGCTTAGCAAGTAATTCATACTTCTATGCTTGCTCTCTCTGGAGACCTCAACCCCTCCCTCTGGGCCCTCCTCATATTCCCCCCAGTGGACGCATAGGATCTGGCCAAGCTGTATGCAGGCACCAAAACCCCAAGATGATGAGCTAAAGGTCAGAAAGATCCGGGAGCTTACAGAGAGAACCCAGGAAAACACCCCCCAGGACAGACAAAAAAAAAATACTCCTAGTTTTCATAGCAGGGAAGGAGAAGGCAGATGGGGGGGGGACTGACGTGAAAGAAAAGATTCTTGTCCTAGAGCTTATACAAGCTCTATTTTAAAATGTGCCCCTAACTACATGTGACTGATGAAAACCATAAAGCAAAGCTGTGTACGCTGCTCCAAGATAGACTCTTTGCTGGCAAAAGCAGTGATAGAGCAGTGCACGCAGAATGCCACGTGGATGGACACGTCTGTATAAACAGACACCCCTGCAAAAATACCGGAGAAACCAATAACAGTGATTGCCTCTAAGATTCGTGTCCTTGTATTCCTTTTTCCAAATATAGGCAGGTACAAAACTTTGTCTAAAAACATCCTCTTTGGAACGAGGAGGATGGTGTCACTGCTCGTGGGGTGGAGGAGCCGTGGCTGAGAATCTATGAGCCAGACTATCTCTCCTCTTTCCATCTCAGGATGCAGAGCTCCCACTGCTGAAAAGGCAGCCGTCCTGGCCCACGCGATGAAGTAATCTATGCCGGCCGTCCCTTCTCTACCCTCTGGAAGAGCCTAACAAACTTCAGGTCAGAGGTGCAGTTTGCAGAGAAAGGGAGGGGCTCCCTGGAGAGAGAGGAGAGGCCTCAGAGTTTGAGTCCAAGAGTGGGCCCAGTCCACCTGTGCGTGAGGGTGCAGGGCCTCTCCTTGCAGCCCCACCCCTGCCCCAAGACACTCAGCATCTCCGAGCGTGCTGCTTCGTGTTCTGCGTGGGCCTGCACCGTGCACACACAGCTTGGTGGTGTGTCTATAGCCATATCTCTGTGACCCTGTGTCTGTAGTTTTGTCTCCGTGCTTTACTTTGCTACTGTATTGTTGCAAATCTGTGTACAAAGGCAGTAAACTGTGGTGATTGGGATCGTGGGCTCTGAAGCCAAGCTGCCCAAGGTCAAACCCCAAATCTGCCATAGTGATACTGCCCAGCAGATAGTCAACCGCCGACCTTCCCATGGGGGTAGGGGTGCCAGATTTTGCAAACAAAAGTACAGAACATCCAGTTAAATTCAGATGTCATATAACTGAATCACAAATGAATTAATTAAGAGCAAATAATAGTTTAGTATACATATGGCCCATGCCATATTTGGGACGTACTTATTCCAAAACATTATTCATTGCTTATCTAAAATTTGAATTTAACTGGATTCAAATTTAATTGGATTTAAGTAGAAGACTGGGGGTCTTGTAATTCAACCGACAAACGAACAGGGGAGAAACGGGACACCCAGCGCAACCCGCGCCGGCAAGGCGCCGGCAAAGGCGCAAGGCAAAGCCTTGTGATCTGCTTTGGCCAATGGGAGGTGAGCACGCGTTACCCGTGCCGCTTGGAGCTGAGGCTCCGGAGACATTGGGTGTTTCCGCTCGCCCCTCCCTCCCGCGCGCAAGTCAGCCACGTGGCAGGAGCAAAAGCTACTGCATCCACAGCACAAGCCCAGAGGAGGATATGTGGACCCAGACCCAGCCCGGCCAATCCATAGACCGTGAGTAAAATATGCTGTTGAAAGTCTATGAGGTCTTGAGGCCATTTTTTGTTGTTTTTGTTGTTGTTGCCACAGCAAGAGCTAACTTGCCTGTTACCTTTAGGACATGTGTCCTTGGTAACGTGTGCCTGCTTTCCATTGGCTAAAGCACATCACATGGCTTTGCCCTGCGTGATAGCGCAGGGTGTCCTGTTCCTCCCCTGTCGGTTTGTCGGTTGAATTACAAGAACCCCAGTCTTATAGTTAAATCCAGTTAAATACAATTGCTCCGCGCCTCAGTTTCCTTATCTCTAACTCAGGGTGGGTGTGAAGGTTAAATTAGTTAATGCAGGTAAAGACCTTAGAGAAGGGCCTGGCACGCGGTAAGGGCTCTGTCCCCGCTGGCTGTTATCGTCACCTAGGCACACTGGTTTGTTTCTACCTGTGGGTTGGTATTGGTGTGTACTCTGGTCCAGGATGGGCCAAAAAGTATGGCTGGTGACCAGGCCAAGGGACCAGATGTCCTTCTGACCTGGAGGCCTTTGTGGAGCTCGGGTAGAGGTGAGGAGCCCATCTACTCACCTGTCGAGGATAACACCCCAGCTGGGGGTGCAGGGTCTGCTGATAGGGCATCCTGGCTGCCCGCTGTGGGTACAGGCCCTGGGGAGAGAGCAGAGGGGCTCAGTGCCGCGGGGCAAAGGGCCTCCAGTCAAGGAGCAGCCACTGCGGCCAGTTTCCAGCTCCCATGCCTGGATCTCCATCCCACTGCCCTGCAAACCAGACCCAGCAGGTGCCGGGCCCAGCCAGCATCGGGCCAGGCATGCACATCCCACACCACACAGGGAGCCTCTGTTTAGCAGGATTCACAGCCTTTTTTGGTACATGTTTGAGATAAGAGCTTCAGGAATCCGACTGCCTCTCGAATCCCAGACCTGCCCCTTAGTGGCTGTGTGACCTTGGGCAAGTCACTTCACCTCTCTGAGCCTCTTTTACCTTTTCTATAAAATGATGTGTGTTTGAAACTGTAAGGCCTGTGAAGGTAGCCAAATTCTCTTTATTACTGTCTACACCCCTTTTCTAAGCTCCTTCCCCAAACCCCATTCCTGCCCCAAGACACAAGGCATACATGGACATCTGCATGTATGCGTTAGTGGGCATCCATGTTTGTTTAAGCACATCTGCATGTGTGCTTCCTTATGTGTCTGCAGCTCTGTGTTTCTGTGTACAAATGTGCACCTGTGAACCCAGGTGCTGCTGTGTGTCTATATGCCCACACGTACCTGTATCTGCACCTCATGATGAAGACTGGTGTGACCGTAAATGAGTTCATGTGTGGAAAGGGCTTAGACCAGTGCCCAGCACAGTCAGGAATCTGCCCATGTGAAGTGTATTTAGCGTCTCTCACTGTGCCGCCGCTCCCCCCTCCTCCACCCCTCCCCCGCCACACAAAGAAGCTCTCTGGGAGCTCAGACAAATGAACAGTAAAAACTTTATCCACAACTCTGCCCAGGGTGCTGTGGATGCCTGTGAATACCACACACACACACACACAGCCGAACAGCTGCTGTGGGTAGGGTCAGGTCAGGACCCCTGGACCCTCAGACTGCCTCTAGCTGCCAATCCAGAGTCACCTCCTAAGATTCAGCTCAACTCCCAAAGCACCCCTGAACTAGGATGTCTTTGCAGAAGATTCTGCACACCGAAATGCTGCCTCGATTCTGGGCTCACTTGTCTGCCCCTGATGGCTTCCTTGGAGCTCTGGGGTCCTGCTGTGGGGTCTGGGGGAAAGTCTCCAGCGCTCCTCATGCCCCGTCCATCTTCCAGGTCCCCCGAGAGCACGTGCCCTCTCAGAGCACCTCCTTGCTCTCTGCTTCTGTGCACCTGATACTTGACTGTGACAGGGCCCCTTCCACCTCCCCCAAACCCTTCACCTGAAACCAGTGCACCTGTTCCATTTTTCTCCAACTCCATAGCCCAGGGCAGTCCCACTCACCACCATGACCACAGCCTGGCCCCTGCTCTCCAGCTGTGGCTGAACCTGGACAGAGAAGTCAGCCAGATGGGCCTGCCCTGCCTGTTCCCAGCCCTCACTGAGCTCCAAGGTCAGGGTTTCGGTGTCACTGTTTCACTCTGTCCTACCTCCCCTCCACCCCCATTAGCACTCAGCCCTGCTTTGCACAGCAAACTTCCCCAGGCCACCCTCCTCCCTAGGCCGGCCTGGGCTAAGGTTCCCTCTAGGACCTGTACAAGACAAACAACTGCCCATCCCCGCTCTGTCCTGCGGCAAACTTGCAGGAGATGGTGCCACAGTCATTAGGATAAGCAACGCTATATGACTTTAAGGGCTTTTCTAGCTGTTCCAATTGCAGTTCTGTGAGATCACAAGCATGGGTAAGTAAACATTCATTCTTCTCTGCTTGAGGCCATGGCCTCTTCCGATGCATCCTCCCTCTTTAACTGGGGGCAGAGCTGCTCTGTAGCAAGCAGCCCAGGAGCCTCTGGAGCTCCTCGGACCAGGGGACTTAAGTCTTCCAGGCTTGCGTCCCCCCACGTGGGGCTCTGAGTAAATTGGATCTGGGACCTCCTCTTTATTCCTAATGCCAAGCAGGGAAAGAGACCAGGATAAACTGTGCCCTGTGTCTCTTTTCTGTCTCCTCAAGGTCTGCAGAGCTCCCTGACCCTGTTTCCTAAGAAGATCAGGGCTGAATAATAATAAAAACTAACACCTGTATCGTTTAGGTTTTACAAAGCCGTTTCTCATCCGTGGACTCAATTAACCTTACAACTGAATCAAATGGCTGCCGCTGCTGCTGCTGCTGCTGCTGCTGTAATTATGATGCACTCATTCAGCAAGTGAGGAGACCAGGGCTCAGAGCATGTGGCTAACTTGCCCAAGGCCACACAGCCTGGAAGCCGCAGGATTCCTTTAAACAAGAGTCTGTGGACTTCTAATGATCCCAGGCCCCTTGATCATGAGAAGCTGGGAGAACGTAAATTATGTAAAGTATGCCCAGTCTTCTTTACCACTTGGGGGGTGGGGGAGGTGTCAACTTCCTCAGTGACTTCTACAGCTCTGCCCAGTCAGCACCTGCACTGCCTTGCTGAACCCAAGAGCCCTCCCTGCCAGGGCCCTTCACTGCTTCTGCCCACAGGCCAGGGAGCCTGGGAGGCAGCTCTGCAATGCAAACACTGGCATCTCCTGAGATAAAGGACCTTCGGGCTCAAAAGAACCACATGATTTCGCTCGTATGTGGGATATAAACCAGAAAGCACCAAATGAACAAGTGAAACAAACTCATGGACAACATCATGGCGATTACCAGAGGGACGGGGGCTGCGGGAGAGTGAGAGGACCAGGGGGTCAGACACATGCTGATGGAAGGAGACTGGATTTTGAGTGGTGGGCACCCCGCGCGACGTACAGATGATGTGTTATGAAAGCGTGCACGTGAAGCTTACAGAATGCTATGAAGCAACATTACCCCGGCTCATTTAACTTAAAAAATATATGTCCAAATATCACCCACTCCAAAAAGTCAAGTCAGAAGAAGTCAGCTCAGCAAAGAGAGAGCACCGCACTCTATAAAGCAAACCATTTCGAATTAGCTTTATATGGTGAGCCCTGTGAGTGCACTTTAGAGGGAATCGGTTTGCACTAAATAAAATTATGCAACTGTGTCTCTCTCCGCAGGGCAGGGGGTGCACACAGTGCTGGTCTGGGCTGGGCTCCTGGCTCGCACTGGACGCCCAGCTGCTCTCTGAATCCCCTCGCCTTGCCAGTGCTAGCCTATGGTCAGTGCAGAGCAAAGGGTTCTTAAATTATTTACATAAATGAGTTAATAAAGAAACAAAAATGAATGAGTAGGTGGGTAGGTGAATAAATGACTGAATAGGGAACCAGCAAACACAGACACGTCAGGGTGGGTGAATATGGGTGATGGAGGTGCTGAGTCAGTGAGCAGATGAACAGGGACCTGTGTAGGGACAAGTTATTACAGGACAGTTTGATTTCCCCTTAGATCACAATTCACGATCACCTCTCACCTCTATGGTAGGACAGGAGGCCTTCAGTCCACGTGAGGAAACTGTTCTCTTAAGCAAACAAACAGAAAAAATGTCTTGAAAACAAAGCTTCGGAGAGAAAAAGACTTTGCTAAACTCCTTGAGTTCCCATTTAAGATGCAGGGGCTAAGTCTGGTGCGCCGGCTTGGAGGGGCTGTGTATGGGGTGGGAAAGATGGCCTGCACCCTGTTGGAAAATAGGAAGTAACAGGGAAGGGGCCGAGCCCAGAGACAGGACAAGAAGACTTTGGGGCAAATTTCCTTCTCTAGCTGCTCTCGGCAGGCTTTGCTGGGCCAGCCTGGGGCCACAGATTCTCGAGAACCTGGCCCCTCATGTTGGCGTGCATTCCTGCCCTTTCCCCCACGCCGACCTGACACTCCGGGGAGTAGCGAGCAGAAGGGGGGGAGCAGGAGGCAGAAATCGTAGGCACTGAGCAGCTTTCCTGGACAAGCTGGGCTCTACCTAAAGGGACGATTAAGCTGTTCGATTGGATTGTGGTTTAAACAGGAGTGGACATTCATTTGATTTTTCCTTCCTTCTACCCAGTGGGCAGCAGCTCTTAAGGGAGATTAAGTTAAATAGACAGACTGCAGAAACTCTCTTTTCCTGCATAAATAGGTTCTGTGAGTAGAATGTCCAACCTGCCACGAGGGGTTCACCATTCCTTTGTGTCTGGTGACCAATTTCATGTCAGCTCTGAGCCCAAGACCACGCATGTGCCACCTTAGTTAGTTACACCTGCCCAGGTGAAGTGTCAATGAAGTGGCTGTATGATTTGTCATCCACACCAGGACACTCCAGAGGGAAAGAGGTGCTATTAATAATTACTCTGGGACAAAAGGCCTAAACTGGAACCGTCCCAAGTCCTCTAGGATGCATGTCATCTAACTATAAAGGAAGGCACAGGAAGTGGATGGGGAGGGAGGACCACACTGTCATCCTATCCCAGGAGCCCGAGCACATAACAGGCCAGAACCAGCAAAGCAGCCCTGGAACACACAGCCCTGAGTGGACCAGAACCCAGATGGAGGAAATCAGGAATATGTATGCATGTCCATGTGTGTGCACCCGCGCATGCGTGCACCAAGTAGCAGGTCCGATGCGGCCACAGTGAAGGGCTAAGTGACTAGTGTAAAGGCTCCTTGTGATGTGGGCTTCCAGTCGGCCGAAGTTCCTCTGTGGCAGGAATCTGCACAGGTGGCCACTTGGAAAGCCAGGCCCAGGACCCACTGACTCACCTGATACTGTGGGAAGGTGGAGTGATTTGTGAACGCTGGTGGAGGTGGATAGTTCAGGTTCAGCCAGAGTGGCTGGTTCAGGGATGCTGAGGTCAAGGTGGTGGCAAAGCGTGGAGTGAAGACATTCCCTGTGTACTTGAGGTTGTTCTTGTCCATCATCGTCCCAGGTGGGTTAACTGTAAGTCACAGGAGAGGCAGGCATTTCAGCAACCAAGGAAAGGAGAGGCCAGGACACCTTCAGTGCGACTGTCCCAGGATTAATACTCTCCTTTGGGTTCTTTAAGGGCAAACAGCGGTAATTCCCACCTTGCCAATTTGGAAGGGGAGAAACTCCCAGCGGGGTCTGCCTTGGAGCTTCTCTCTCCATCATTCACTGAAGGAGGAAGACTCACGAGGAAGCAGATTACTAGGCATATATTTTACCTATGGTCAAAGCCAAGTTCTCTCAAGTACTTTAGAATAATCCAGCTTTATACAAGCAATTGCTTTGCCATTGGAAGTCATTCTTATCAAATTACCAAAGCAGCTCCCTGAGGACCTTGCACAGCTTATCTCTATATTGGAATTATTTTCTTAAAAATGTTTTATTCTTTTAAATATTTTATTTATTTACTTCTAGAGAGAGGGAAAGGGAGGGGGAAAGAGAAGGAGAGAAACTTCAATGTGTGTTTGCCTCTCACATGCCCCCAACCAAGGACCTGGCCCATAACCCAGGCCTGTGACCGGACTGGGAACAAAACCAGTGACCTCTGGCCTCACAGGCCAGCACTCAGTCCACTGAGCCGCTCCAGCCAGGGCAGAAAATATTTTAAAACATTATGTAGTTTACTGTGGTAGGACCCAAAATTAGTTTGAATGAGTTAGAGTTGGTTGAGCTATTTCAGAATATGAATCCTTAATTCTCTCCCTCTAGACGTCTTGTGGGCTCATAGAGTAAGAGATGGAGCCTCTGCTTCCTCTTGGCATCTTTTTTGGGAAAGGAGGTTTGACTAAAACAGTTGTAGGAGGGCAAGAGACAGAAACAGGGACACAACCTCAATACACCAATAACCTGAAGCGTAGATTTTTCTTTGGCCTGAGCAACTTGAAGGGACACACTTAGTCCACTCTGCGTTCAAACTGACCACCAACAATGCCATGGGACCCCCTTACAGCCAACAGCATTTCTCTGGCAATTGTATTCCCAGTAAGAGAGACACAGGGAGAAGGTCATCTCCCCCATTTCACGGGTTTGAAAAGGGACGTCCAGAGAAAGACAGAGGCTTGCCCATGAGACAGCAGTTGGATGGCGGAGCCACTCCCAGGGCCTGTGAGGGTGTCTGACTTCCCTGCTGCAGACTTTCTCGGGGCAGGGCCAGCTTACATTTCAGCTCCAGCCCATCCACCTCTTTGCTGCGAAGTTTCAAGTGCCCGCTTGGGTTCTTGGTGGCCCCAAGGAACTCATAGAACAGGGTCTTCTCCGTTGGCCACGCGGACTTCTTGACTGGCAGGGCCACGGACATGGAGCTCCCTGGGTCACTGCAAGCCTCTTCATCACAGATGTCTTTCTGGCTCTGGGGCCACTGAGTGACAAAGAGCCTTTCTGGACCCTTGGTGGGCTCCTTGGTGCCTGAGTTCCATTCTACAGTAAAAGGGAAACGGAGTCAATGATTCTAGGAGGCCAAGTGCTGGATGCAGGCTGAGGGGGGCATCTTCTTTATACTCAGTGGTGGACCCTCCACAGCACACACGTCAGGCTCAGGTTGCTCTGGGCTCCCTCTCTCAGGCAAATCCAATCCCAACTTCCTCTCTGAGGCCTTCACAGCCCACTTCCTCCTCTTATCTTCCCCTTTCATGAACTCCTTTCTTCCTTCCTTTCCTCTACTCTTCCTTCCCACCATCCCTTCTTCCCTCCCTTCCTTTTTACCTATTTTCTTTCCACCACCCCCCTCCTTTTCTCCTCTCTTCCTTCCTTCCAACTCTCCATAGTGCCAGGTTCCAGGTAAGAACTGACTTGGACCCAGGTCCTGCCTTCGGGGAGCACCTGGCTTATGGGGAGACACCCACTCCCACAGACACATGGCTTAAGCCACAGCCTAGTCCCCATCGTGGCTCCTGCTCTGATGCTCACAGGTGATTCAGCTCACTTGTCAGTGCCATGTCCTGACCTGCGTGCTGGGGACACTGCGATGAGTCAGAGCCAGGCTCTGCAGGAGCTCACACCAAGGAGGAGGAGAGAGACAGGCCCAGAAATAGCTTCAGGACAAGGCAGATGGGGACTGGGAGGGGACGGAGAGACAGAGTGGTAGAAGAAGGTGGCTGAGAAAGCATCTGAGAGGGTCAGAGGGCTTCCAGGCGGAAGTGGCCCTTCAGCAAGGCCTCCCTTGCAGGGGTGTGAGGGAGGAGGGCACAGCAGGCAATGGGTGACTGCAGGCCAAGGCAAGGAGTCATCAGCAGTGAGTCACAGGATGTGGTCAGCGCCAGGCTCAGCCCTCTCTCCAAACAGACCAAGTGTTCCCCCAGTGCCAGGACACCGTCTGGACCATCAGGAGACCCTCTGCAGCAGTGGTCTTCACCCATGTTTCCTTTTTAGCAACGGAACTCTTTCTTCAAACAAGACTAAGAAGTCATTGCCTGGTTGGAGCAATGAAGAGGCCTTGGCCCTCCCAGCACCCTTCACTCCCTCCCCAGCCCAGGGGGTCCTGGTTCCGTGAAGGTTGGCAAGGAAATGGTGTTAAACGCACAGCATGCACCTTGGATCATTTCAGTAGTCACCGGATCACAGGAACTTGGGTCCACTGTTACGTGTTGGGATCCGATCCCACCGGCTCTTGCTCCCCCTTCCTCCCCAGCCCAGTGGCCCTGGGGCTAAGCCTGGGCAGGACTGGGCCTGGCCACCAAGCACCACCTCAGCAAAGGACAGAGCCGCTCTAGCCCAAACCAATTTAGGAGAAAAAAATGACATTTTTAGAAAACATGTCCCTAGCGTCTCTTCCAAGAGTTTCCCTGGTTGCTGAGTATAGCCCCCAGCTAGTGCACCGAAATAACAGTACCCACTAATAACAATGGCCCTGTCCCCAGGGACCCACCCACCTGCAGTCTCTTACACACCTCTGGTCGCCTCGGACTCTCTCGCTGCTCACTCATCCCCAAGCTTTCTCTTCCAGGCTCTGTGCATGCAGAAACACACACATTCCTGCCTGTCCCTTCTTTGACTCACTCATATGTACACAACTACACACATGGGATGCACACACAAACACATGCAGATATGCAGCCACACCCTCGTTTTCTCTAACAAATACACTCACACCTGCAAAGCTCCCTTTGGCATGCTTTGCCCACACATTTGTATGGACAGGCACACACCAGTGCTGGGGAGGACAGGTGGGGCAGGCTGCCTCCAAGCCAGCACATTGGATTAGTTGTGCCCTGTACATGGGCATCCACCCCAGAGGGCACGTGGGCACCAGAAACAGCGGCACCTGTGGGCTGTGCCCACCAGAGAGGCCACCTTGCCCATCGTACTCTGCACAGAGATGCTGCTCACAGTGCTGCGGCCCAGTTGGCTTTCTGGCAAGTTTCTCCTCCTTGCAGGACTACCTGCTAGCCCTGCTTTCAGCCTCACTCACCCATCAGGTAGTGCCCCTCCAGGTCAGGGTCTGCCTCAGGCTTGGAGCAGATCTTGGCAAACACTGGGAGCTGCTTCTTCTGGACAGGGAGCTCAAGGAGCTTGTCAGTGGGTGCAGGCGGCGGCGGGGGAGGCAGCAGCAGGAGCGGGCCCAGCCCTGTGGGCTCCTTGGGTAGGGGGCCACTGAACATGCTGTTCTGCAGGAAATCCTTGATGACACGCGTCTCCTCCAGCACCACCTTGTTGTCTGGGGCCTTGGGCGTTTCTTTGGACTTCAGTGGGAACTGGGCCAGGATCTTGCTGATCTCCGAGTTGGAGGTACCCAGGCTGTGGCCTCCATCATCTGTCCCCTTGGCACTCTTGGCTTTGGCAGCACGTAGGATGCCCGTGACCGTAGTCATGGAAGAATCGCAGTCCCGCCTGCTGCCGATAATGGACACAGCCACCTTGGGCTCCAGAAGCTTGTCACCAGCAATGACAGAGGCTCGCAGGGGCTCCCTGCTGCCTGTCACCAGAGGAGGCGTGAGAAGGCCGGGCACTGGCTTGCGCTCAGGCCTCTCCGGGGAGCTGCCAGGTGACTCCAGCTCCCTTGAGCTTCCTGTGACCAGGACGATGTGCTCTTTGGTCAGGTTCAAGAACTCCTGCTCCACCAACAGGGAGATCTCATCTTTGTCACTGCTGAGCTCCAGAGCTCTGCAAACAGGTCAGACAGACAGGTGGCTTTAGTGCCAGCTCAGGGAGAGTGGCTCTGCCGCAGGGCCAGGCCCCAGGGAAAGGGGGTGGAGAAAGCAAGAAACACCTATGGCTTTCTCAAGAGAACATGGACCAGCAGTGGGCTCTCAAGAGGTCTCTACACCACACCAGCAGGCACAGCACCAAGAGTGTGGTTCTGGGAATCAGGACACCTGGGCCCTTTCCCAGTTCGGCATCTTACTGAGTGAGCTGAGGTTTGAGATCAAGGCCTCTGGACTGGGCCTCACTTCCTGGGAGCAGCAGCAGTTGGTTGGTCCCTGCACGGATTCACAAGCATTTACCTCTGTCTAAACAAGGGTCTCTACCTGTACCTCAGACCTGGCGCTCAGCTGGACCCCAACGGCCAGCACCTGTCTGAAGGGCCTGGTGATCCCATGGACTCTTGGCTCCCAGCTGCTGGCTCTCTCCAGGTGTGGGAGAGGCTGGCCATCCCGCTGGCCTGGCCCATGGCCCTGCATCCTTCGTAAGGGGAGACCTTCCACCCTGGCACTCCCAGGAGAATCACCAGCACCCAGTTCAAAACCAGCTGTGCTCTCTACTCAATGGGCCCCTGTGAAGGGTGGATGAGGTGGTTACACAGAGCGCTCTGGAAACTGCTCAGTGCGTTGGCCCTGGGAGAAGGTGGTAAAGGAGGCGAAGAAGAGATTGGAGGGGAAAACGAAAGCTTCCCACGAGCAGAGCTTCACAGGTAGGCAAGCCTGGCACACGCTCCCGCTCTGAGACCTGTTCCCAGGGCCCAGGGAGCCCCACCAACAGCGACTACAGAGCGAAACTGTGCTCCCCCAGGAATGCTCTTTGTGCGGGAGCACATGCACACTCACATGTGTGCACACACGTGATGGGGCGTGCGGTGGCTCACATGCCACCATGCAAAGAAGCAGTAGTCAAGTCCCTGCATCTGACAACCAACCAGAAGGGGCACAGGGTACAGTCCCGGAGGCTTCCTGCTGTTTGGGGCATTGACCCCTTAGGTACTGGGTCCTGCAGACGCCCAGGGCTCCTGCAGAAAAGGCAGGCTGCCCAAGGCACGTGGGCACACGGGAAGAGCTCAAGATATGGGAATGTGTTGCTATTCCAACAACTGAGACAGCCTGCCTCCCGGGTGGAGCCCCCCTGGGTCCTGGCAGGGGCGGTGCCAGGAAGCGGCAGACTCCAGCCAGACCCACCCGGTTCGGAATCGAGCACCACTCCTTACCTCATGTCGGATCCTAGAACCTCAGGGACTCCCCTGTAACGCGGGTCTGACACAAGCACCCCCCACCCTCCTGGGCGGTGTGAGAACTTGGGACAACCCGTGTGCGAGCTCAGCACAGATCCCTGTGCCCCGGACACCCCCCCAGCCGGCCCACTGGCTGAGAGCCTTCCCCAGAGTGGGCTGGCCCTGGGAGCTCTGGAGGTCGGCAGGGCTGGGCGTGGGGCAAGGCCACCTCACCTGTCCCTTTTCCTCTTGCCCCACTCACTCTCTCGTCCCTCTCTTCTGTGTCCTCTCGCCTGTCCCCTGTCCCTCCTCCTTCCCATGTCTAGACTTAGTCTATAAATAGGCCTCATCTCACCCCTGTGTCCGCAGGAACAATGGGAATGAAGAGGTTGCCAGTCCAGGATCCCAAGTGTTAGGTCCCCCTTCCTCCTCCTCTACATCCTCCTCCTCGAAGGGAGCAGGCGAGTCCCCAGTCACAGAAACCAGACATTTGAAGGGCCAGTGCCCCCACCAAAAAGTTACAAAGCAAGCTGTCAGTTTTCTGAATTAGACTTACTATAATTATATTCATTTTTTTAAATTGTGATAATGGTATCACCCAAACAACCAAAAAAGAATCCTTATCTTTTAGAGATACTAAAGCATTTACAGATACAATTATGTCTGGGATTTGCTTTAATTCCAGGGCGGGAGGGGAAAGAAGGGAGGGGCCGCAGATGAAACCAGAGTGGCCCCGTGTTGATCACCGTGGAGGGGTACTTGGCTTCCTCACTCACGGTTCGCTCTACTTTTGTGTTCGGTTTCTGGTTGTTATTTTTTAACCAAGATGTTACGTGGCACACGAGCACACAAACGTCTCACCCCTGAATCCTTTGGAGTACCAGCTCTAAGGAGAAGCCAAAGCAGCTTCTAAAAGACCCACAAGGCTTGAGGTCCCAGTACCAAAAAAACACCCCACAGGAGGCGGTCCCTGCTCAGCCCCTAAAGAGGACACTCCCCCTCCCCCCACCGGGCACCAGGCTGGCAGAGAAAACGCTGCGGGAGCTGAGTGTGACCCCTGCTCACACTCCCAGGCATTCTCCCCCGACAGGTCACGGGGGCCAATGGGCCTCTCAGGAGGCTGACACTCCCAGAAGGGGCAGTGCAGGGCCAAGAGCGGAGGGGCCGCCCTGGCCGTGGGTCCTCCGCCCTGGCCGTGGGTCCTCCGTGTGCCGCTGAAAGGCTGTCCAGAGCACTTGCCCTCCCCGGAACAGCCTCAACTGCCTCCTGTTTCCCCGGAATCTGCCCTGAACCCACTACAGGGCGGACGCTGGACACCCATCCGTATGCTCAGATTTAATCCTCCCCACACCCCTGGGTGGTAGCCGGTTACCATCCTCACTCTGCAGACGGGAGAATCGAGCCTGCACGAGGCTGGTATGGGGCTGCCAGCACCACCTCCTCCCACCCGCCTGCAGGGATGTCAGTCAGAGGGGGTCTTCCAGCTCAGCTTCCAGGCTGGGCTCTGCGCCCCGATCTGCGGCCAGGGACAGCGCTGGGCTCAGCCCACCTCTCCAGGCAGTGGAGGAGCTTTGTGTTCTGACATTAGCTGTTGCTCACAGTTCCCTGTCTGAGGAGCACTTTTCTGAGTGGGTTTCGGGGTGGGGGGGGGGCAGCTTGTGGATATAAATGTTAAAAGGGAGAGACTCCAGGGCTGGCCTAGGGAGGCTGCTGGAGACCCTCCCCACGGCCTGCCTGGCAGTGATCCTGGATCAACACTCTGAGGGAGTCCCTCAATCAACCCAGTCACTGCTGTCCCGCTGCCACTTCTACAAGGCAGCCTTTGTCCAGCGCCTCGCTGCCATCCAGATTCAGCACAGCAACAAATCCCCAATGCAGGGTCTCCAGACCTGTCCCCTCCACCCCCATGAAAACAAGATTCATTTGTTCTCATTTGTTCTAGAGAAGTGTATGTCCGCAGAGCTAGGACATCCTCAGGACTCAGATCAGAACGTTCGCCGTTCAAACCCGCATGTGGACTCTCAGTACACATAGAATAAAATCCAAACCCCTTTCTGACCCCCAGGGCACCACAGGAGTGGGCCCATCGCCCCTCCCACTTTGACTCCTCCTTCTTCCATCCACACTGGCCTTAACCAATATTCCCTGACATGCCAAGTTCACTCCAGCCCCGGGGCATCTGCAGTCCTATGGAAGGCCAGGTCACCCCTTGCCTGACTCATCATTCATGCCTTAGTTCAAGTTTCATACTCTCCAAGTAGCTTTTCCTGTCCCTTTCCTAAAAGTGTTATTACTGCCCCCCACCTTGGCCCACCTTACCGGGCATTATCTGCTCCATCAAGTTGTTTATTTTCCTCTTAGTTTTCATCACCATCTTACAGTATCTTTTTTATGTCTCTACTCCCCACAAGAACATATCCTCCCTGAGAGCAGGGACTGTATCTTCTTCATCACAGGCCTGGGGAAAGCAGAACAGTGCCTGGCACATAACTTCAGCTCAGTAAGTATTTGTTGAATAAATTATGAACTAGCTCATGAACTTCTCTTTACACTTGTCCATTTCTTGGAGCTCTTGAAATCAAGAGCTGTGTTGCCAAAGACTGTCTCACTCCTTGCATGGGTCACAACCTGTCTGGCTTTGATTCCACTTCCTGTCCCTCCTCTCTGTCCCACCTCTGACCAGCATCCCTGGGAGCTGTTCAGTAACTACCCTGCTAGGTCCCGTCCTAAGGGCTCCAACCCTCTGCAAGGGAGGCCCCTGGCTGATCTGACACAGAGTCCACCTCTTAGCAACCACCTTGGGGCTCACACAAAAATTTTTCATTCTTCTTACAACTTTGCTGGGTTCAAATCGAGCCTGCTTGCCTGCATTTCTGGAATCTTTTTTTTTTCTCTCTTCTTAAGAAGTTTTGCCGATGTTGGCACTTCTCCCCTGCTATTTCCTTTCTCCTTTGAGTTGGTAAAAACCATGAAATCTGCCACAGACTATCACAGTGAATTATTCAGGAAGGTTAACCCAGCTCCTGAGTGCTGACAAAGGAAGCAGGAGTCGGGATCGGTGCCGCGGCTCCAGCTGCCGCCGCCACCTCTGCTTGCCCACCTCCAGAAATGATAGGTGTCTGACGGAGGCTTTGTATGCGGATGCTGTTCGTTGTTTCTGCGTTTGCAGTGTGCAGAGTTATATAAAAATAAAGGCTATTGACTGGCTGGCACCCCTTCCCAGAATAATGACTAAGCAAGCATGCTGTTAGCTCCCCATAGCAGTTCTGTGTACATGATAACACAGAGCAAAGATGAAAACTGCTATTCATCTGAGCCAAACAACAAAAAAAAATGCAAACAGAAAATTGTTAGTGTTGGAAGAGTACACCAAAACAAATATTTTCTTCTCACTACCGCACTTCCGACCATCCACAAACCAGGTACCCAGGCCCCGTGCCCGGGTGACACAGCCCTTTGAGGAGGGGAGCCTGGGCCCGGCTCCGGGTCCCGCGCACACCTGGATTCGGGTGGCGGCCCATCCACAGGCTGGCCTCCTGGCTGTGGGTGAGATTCTGACTTCCCTACGTGCTGGCTATGAGCTGAGTCTCTGGAGGGAGGCAGAAGCGGGAGTCAGATCCCCACCCCTTAGTGGAGGCCAGACCTTAAACAAGCTGTGTCAGGTCCTAGCTCACAGAATAGGAAGAAAGATTAGCATTCCTGGAGTGCTAACCAGCCAGATACCACTGAGCACCTTGCATGCAAAACTCTCATTTTAATCCCCACAACAGCCCCCACTGGGCAGCGGGGTAGTCCGATGACCGCAATGGCCCCATGTTATCACACGTTTGATATCCTGTATCCAGGTACCTTGTAATTCCCACCCATCTTGATTCAAGTAATAATGTAAAGTGCGTGGGCTCTTACATTACATCACACTAGGCCTCTACACTACATCAGCCTCTTGTTTCTTTTGGGTTTTGGCCAGCTCCAGGTGAACAAGTCCTGGAGAGCCCACTTAAGAAACATCCCACACAGGCAACCCCCGACAGTTGGCCTGACCCAACCAACCTGCAGATGCTGGATGCGCACCACCCATGCCCAGCCAAGTGCACCCCCCACCAGAAGAATCACCTGGCTGAACCCAGCCCAGACTCCTGGACAACAGAAAGGGGAGCTGAGTAAATAGTTGTTGTTTTGAGCCACTAAGCTTTGGAGTGGTGTGTGAACTATAACTAACTGATGCAGACAGAGAGAGCAATCCCAGTTTTAGACTGAAGAAGCCAAGGGAGAGAAGAGTTAGGGAATTTCCCCAGGAGGAAACTAAGAAGGGACAAAGTGGTGAGCTGACACAGTCTTGCTCAAATGGCGCTCTCTTAACCATTAGGCCACTCTACCCTGAAAACCAAAGTGAAGTGCTGGGTGTTAAATACCAGGGATGCACACCTAAGATAGGAAGGAGAACAAGAAAGGGCTCTCCAAGGAAATGTCATTTCAGTGGGGGCCTCAAGGGTAATAAGCATTTAGCCAGGTAAAGAAAGCAAGGAAGAGCTTTCCAGACATAGGGAACAGCATGTGTGAAGGCCTTGTGGTACACGGGAGCTTGGTGTATTGGTGGGACTATGCTACAGCGGGTGGGGCACATTCATGGGCGAGTGGGGAGGTCACAGGAGGCAAGGCCAGAGGAGGGAGGAGTCAGAACCTGCCTGGTTAGAGTGGCGCTGAAAGATTTTATTCTAAAGGAGCAGGGAAGCCGTTGGAAAGGTTTGAGCAGGGAAGTGTCAGGGCCGGGTTTCTTCTGCAGAGCAGTCCAGAGGAGTGACAGGAGGGGACTGACCCCTAGCCAGGACCTGTGCTGTGCCTGCTAGGTGCCAGGTATTACAGGTGGCACTGGACTCCACAACAGCCATGAGGAATAGGTAAACATCTTTATTGCCACTTTAGAAGAGGAAACTAAGGTTTGGGAATTAACGACAAATTCAAGTTCACCCAAGAGCGCAAGTGATGGAGCAGGACTGGGAACCAAGTCCAGATGGGTCCAAGTCTCTACTCTTAGCCACTGCCTTACAC